CTCCAACCGTGCCGTCCCCCTTGTTCACTCTACTCCAACCGTGCCAGCCCCCTTGTTCACTCTACTCCATCCATACTGTCCCCCTTGTTCATTGTACTCCAACCGTGCTGGCCCCCTTGTTCCTTGAACTTTCCAGGCATGTTCCCACCTTGGAGCCTTTTGTTGGCTGTTCCCTCTCCTGAAACACTGTTCCTCCAGATAGCCCCATAGCTAATCCCCTCACTTCCTTCACGTCTTTCCTCAAACGACTTCTTAGTGAACCCTGCTTTGATGACCCTAGTTAATCTGCAGCCTCCCCCTCCCACCTCAGCATTCTTGATGCTGCACTACCTACTCTTTTTTTGCCCATACACTAACCACCTTCTAATATACCATATACTTGATTCATTCATTATGTTTTTTATTGTCTCTGTCCCTGCACTAGAGTGTAAATTCCATGAGATAGACATCATTTTCCCTTTTGATCACTAACGTATCCCCAATGACAAGAACAATACCTTGCACATAATAGGTGCACAGTAAATATTTGGAGAATATTCATCAAATGCCTAGAAAATTGCCCGGCATGTAGTTGCTCATTAGATGGTGGTACTGGTGGTGGTAATGATTTTTATACTAGTGTTAGAGTCAGTGTTAGTGTTAATATTTTAATTACTATTTTAATGGACTCAAACTCCATCAGATGTCCTTCCGAAAGTTATGCAGACCTTTTAGGCTTTTTTTTTTTTTTTAAAACCAGGCTTTTTAAAAATTTGGTTTTCTTATACTTTCTTGACCTAATTTTCATTATATAGCTTACTACCTTAACAGTGTAACCTAGTTGCTTTTAGTTCTGTGTTGCTAACGAAAGTCCTTCTGTGTATTTAGCTGGCGTAGAGAAGCTCTTGCTAATTGCGCTACATACACTGTTTGGTCAGGCCATTGGCCAGGGCGCTGTGATCATCATTAGAGCAGCATTCTTTTATGCTTTGTCTTTGCCTTCCCAGCTGTGAACTGTACTTCACTATAAACTTTGACATTTTGAATATGTTTTAACTCATCGTGTTGGTTGCCATAACTTCATTTTTTTCCAGCTGGGGATTATTTCCTTTTCAAAATATATCTTTCAAGCAGTAGAGAAACATCCTTTTAGAATTTCGAAGAGATTTGAAAATGAATTAATTTGCTGTGTCTTCTCCTTCCCATCGATAGATGTGCGGTGGTCCTGGGATACCCGACCCAAGAGCAGGAGGTGATGCTACTGACTCCAGCCAGACAGTTCTTGATAATAAAGCTTCCTTGCTCCACGCGATGCCTGCTCACTCCTCTCCACGCTCTCGAGACTACAATCCATATAACTATTCAGATAGCCTCAGTCCCTTCAACAAGTCAGCCCTCAAGGAAGCCATGTTTGATGATGACGCAGACCAGTTTCCCGATGGTATGTTCTGGGTCACACTGCCACTACCTGTGTTCTGTTGTCGTTAGGCGCCGTCAGGTCAGTTCCGACTCCGAGCGACGCTGTGTGCAACAGAACGAAACACTGCCTGGTCCTGCAGCATCCTCACAACTGTCCACATCTAATGATAACTTCTGTAAAGTTCACTAGGGACTATAATATTCCAGAATACTATCTCCAGTGAGGATGATACTGTTCTTCATGGGAGACTCACATCAAAGTTTGCCAAGTTGAAAGAATGTTCAGTATTTTTTGAGCAAAGAAACAAAAATATTATCAGAATTATAATTGTACCAGTGTTTGTCAGGACACAAGGAAAATTCATATTAATGAGTTTACTGTATCCTAGCCCAGGTTCTCACTATGACCCCAGGATGTAGAGCTATTTTCCCATTTTACTGATAGGAAAACAGAGCCTCAGCAGTAATGAATAACGTGTCCCAATCACTCTGCGTGTACGAGGCAGGTTTGGTGAGACTACAAAGCCCTGTGTTCTTTTCGCTCGACGACAGTGCCTCTCTGTGTCAGAAGAGGAAATAACAGCTGATTACACTTGGGCTTGATTAATTCAGTACCTTAGGTTTATCACTTGTATGGTATAAATAGTTCAGTTTTGTAATAAATAATTTTGGTGCTTTCTTGGGCGGAAATTATTTTCCTGTCAGTCATCTGCCCTTATCTCGTGGAGCAATTGCAGAGCCTACATTCCTGGAGAAGAGAACCGAGTTCCTTTGAAAGATACTCTCTTGTGAACTCCCTTTATTCACTGAAATAAAATATGCTCTTATCAGAATGGTCTCAGACATCTGTGAAAGTCTGATAACTTACTGTTTTCCAGGGGTGATCTTTCCTAGAGATGCGTTTATCCTGGCGCAGTAGTTCTTATCATGCCAACAATATTGGTCTATACAAATGAAATTTTTTAATTTTTCAATTTTGTTTTTTTTTTAATCTTAGCCATGTTCATGGAAGGGAAATGGCATCTCATGGTGGTTTTGGTTTGGATCTCTCTGAGGGCTAATGATGTTGAGCGTCTTCTCATAAATTTGGTGGCCATTTGAATGTCCTCTTTGGTGAAATGTCTGTTCAAGTCCTTTGCCCATTTTGTGACTGAGTTTGTTGTTGTTTTTCCAACTGGCGTCGGTTATATCTGTGTTTCATAATGTCGTAGAGTTGTCTTTCCAATACTTCTAAGAGTTGATGGTTAAAGTAACCAAGTTAATCTCGTGTCCCTTTGACAGATCTTTCACTTGACCATTCTGACCTGGTGGCAGAGCTGTTGAAGGAGCTGTCTAACCACAATGAGCGGGTGGAGGAAAGAAAGATCGCCCTCTATGAACTGATGAAGCTGACACAGGAAGAGTCCTTCAGTGTTTGGGATGAACACTTTAAAACAATCCTGCTGTTACTGCTTGAAACCCTTGGGGATAAAGAGGTAAATGGCAGAAGACAGAAACAATAACCTGTCTTTTTGGATCACCTGCTGTTGCCTGTTGATCAGACACTACGCAGATTCAGAAAGGGGGAAATGAGTCTCTCCTGCTGCTTCCTTCCGCATGAAATTTTCACTATAAATTTCACTTTTTCTTTTAAACTCGCCTGTACCAGTGAGAAAGTAGCTCAACAATTTTGAGTAATTGACACTGGGAAAAATGAAAGGTTATAGGAGAACCCAGGTTACTTGTTTTGCATACTTAATTAGCTTTTCAGAGGTAAAACTTCCTTTTTAATATTGAAAATATAATTCTTGCTTGCTTAGAAATAGGAGAGTGTGATACAAGTTTTCAACTAGAAATGTGAAAACTTAATTATGTCATATACTTTATACAGTTGTCTATTATTTCCCCTCAGTTTAACCCTTAATTACAGAAATTGAAAATTAAAAAGATCATTTGCAAACCCAGAACATTAAAACTTTTAAATGTTTCTTCTTAGCCTATGATCAGGGCTTTGGCACTAAAAGTTTTAAGAGAAATCCTAAGGCATCAACCAGCAAGATTTAAAAACTATGCAGAACTGACGGTCATGAAAACATTAGAAGCACATAAAGATCCTCATAAGGAGGTAAGTTACCTGATAGATTATTATTTAATCCCAGTACTTCTGATATTATTGCATGAAACATGTAAACAATACTTGAAAAGTACTGTAATTATCAGTTATCCCTGTAATGAACACTTACCTTGATATCAAGGTAATAACTGATTGAGATGTCAGCATATATTCTTTCCTGTTGAATGAATTGTGATGATATGGGGCCTTTCACCTAATATAGGCCAGCTCTAGGAAATAATCTGTCAATTACATTTTCTTTCTCATTGTCTTCACTTCCCAGTTAGTGATAAGAATGTACTTTTTTAAGGAACTAATGAAGAAAAGAACTCTTTTTTTTTTTTTTTTTTTAATTGTGGTAAATTGCTTATAGGTGCCATGTATCTGTTATGAGGTTATTGAGTAATGAGGACAGCTTTCGGGAAAGAGGCCTGTAAACCTGTCTCATCATTTTATAGTTGTGGTATTTCACCCTCCCCCCTGACATTGAGTAGGTAACCATGAAGATTTTTATTAAAAATCTCAAAGGAAATTTCAAATAGGGACTTCCTGTCTAAGAGAAGGCACCAAGGAGACAGCATTAAGTGTCTCTGGTAGAACTAAGGCATAAGCAAAGGGAAAGTCAAAGACGGAGAGGTAGAATAGCAGTGAGGCAAAATGGATCAAAGCTAAATATGAACTAAACCTCTTAGAAGAAGACGTAAGTGTAAATCTGTATTCCGTCGAATTGGGCATTGGTTTCTTAGATACAACATCAAAAGCCAACATCAACAAGCAACCCACCACCACCACCACCAACGAAACCCGGATAAATGAGATTTCAAAATTAAACACTTTCATGAACCCACAGAATTTGAGAAAATTTTTGCAAATCATGTATCTGATAATGGACTAGTATCCAGAATATATAAAGAATTCTTACACCTCACCAGTAAAAAGACAAATAACCTGATTTTAAAATGTGCAAAGGATCTGAATAGGCATTTCTCCAGAGAAGATATACAAATGGCCAACAAGTACATGAAAGATGCTCGACATTGTTAGTCATCCAGGAACCACAAACCAAAACCACAATGAGGTACTGCTTGACACCCACTAGAATGACTAAAATAAGAAAGGCAGACAGTAACGGGTGTTTACAAGGCTGTGGAGAAATTGAAACCCTCAAGTAATTTGCTCTTTAAAGGCTTTGACTGTGAATCTTCTAGGAGAATGAGTCACAGCTTTTAAATCTGTCCAGAGTCTCACACATCACTTGGTGTTCAGTACTGGTACATCTTTGTACCACTTTTTCACTGTCAAAGCTTAAAAAACAAGATCTAATATTTGTGGTTTAATTTTCCGCCTTGTAACCCAAATAAGGCCTGCAACATCGCTAATTTTACAAAAGGAAAATTGGCATTCTTAAGGCATTACAGCTGAAATTAGCCCGGGTCTTCTAACTGTCGGTGCATTTTCTTCTGTTCCCTCCTGAGGACCTCTCACCCGTGGGGATCAGAAGGGGGACATTACCAAAGGAGAATCAAAGCAGTCATTTTTACATGTTTTAAAGGCCATCTTTAGCGATTAAAGATTCTAATAAGATGACCATTTCTTCTCTTTATTGCAAAACCTGTATCTCACCTCCCCATGCCTCCCCAACCCCAGTACAGAGGGGAGGAAAATCGTTATGAACAAAAGGAGGAATAGCATGTTAATGTTATGATCACGCATTAATGATGTGATTTTGATTTGATTTTGCATTCATGTGATGGAAAAGGCACAAGCAGTCCTAGAGTTGCCCAAGCCTCACCTTAGCCAACTCCAGGGAACTCCATTCGTGTTAGTAAACACACACCTGACACCCAGCACAACCAGATGACCATTTAAAGATGACCGTAGCCAGTAGTACCATTTGTTTTTTCTTTTGAAAAATTTTAAACATACACAAAAGAAGGGAAAGTGATGCAAGAAAGCCATGTGCATGCATCATCTAGCTTCAGCGGTTATTACCACGTTGCCAGTTCTGTTTTATGTGTACCCGGACTTGTGATGTTTAGCTGTGTACTGGAGTATTTTCAAGGCAAACCCCACATACCATGTCACGTTAAATACTTGATGAAGTATATGCTTCCAGGACCCACTGTAATATTTGGAAAAATTACTTCTTGGCTCAATGTCTGGTTTGTTGTAGGTGGTGAGAGCGGCTGAGGATGCTGCGTCAGTGCTGGCCACCTCAATTAGTCCAGAGCAGTGCATCAAAGTGCTTTGTCCGATCATCCAAACCGCAGACTACCCCATCAATCTGGCTGCCATCAAAATGCAAACAAAAGTGATAGAGAGAGTGTCCAAGGACACCCTTAACCTGCTCTTGCCGGAGATTATGCCAGGCCTGATACAGGTAAGCCATCCAGCTGGAAGGAAGAAGCTCTGACAGTCCGGGATTGGGTTAATAGAGGCACTTTCCAGGCCACACTAGTGGCGTGCAGGCCTTCCTGCTGCCCACAGTGTTCACAACAAAGACTTTCCTCACTGGCTTTTGATTGTTGTGCCGTTGAGTGGATTCCAACTCACAGCGACCCTGTAGCACGGAGTAGAACTTCCCCCATACAGTTTCCAAGGCTGTAATCTTTACAGAAGCAGACCGCCAACCCTTTGGTTAGTAGTCAAGCGCTTAACCGTTGTGCCGCCAGAGCACCTTAGCTTCTGAGTAGAGGTATTTAGAATGTCTCGATAATTCCCCTTTGCTCCTGAGGTAAAATTTTTAAGTAGGTGAGCAACAAGGTATGTCCTTTAATTTACTTTGCTCTCTGTAGACTAATTTCTAGAAGACACTGTAGTAGAGTCAGGATAAATTATGAGATCTTTGTGGTCAATGTTCTTGATGTCTTTGATGTTATATTTATAAAAAGTACATCGAAAATACATACCCAAGCCTACCTTTTCATGGTAAAAGGGACGGTAAGATCACAAATTGAGACTTGGTAACTTCCTGATACCGATACTTTTGATATTTTCAGTGCTTCTGGAATCAAGACCAAGCTTCCCTGCCCGATCTAGACCTTTACCCCTTCTCTCCCATGCCTCTCCTCTCACTACGTGCTTCAAGAACATTTACTGAGTAGGTTCTGTGCACTAGACACTGTGCTACACCTGGGCCGGCACTTGAGAGGGGATGACAGAAAAACACAAAGGTGACTGACGAGGTGATGTGGCAGGAAATGAGGGAAAGGAATTATCAAAAACACCGGTGATATTTTTTTCATTTGAGAGACTGAATAGATGGTGATCCCAGTAACTGAGGAAAGTAATACAGTATGAAGAACTGGTGTAGGTGGGAGTCAGATGACCGTGAGTAGGTCAGCTGAATTTCCAGTGACATTAAACCTCTAAGAAGGCATTCAGCCTCCATCATACTCTGCATCCACACAGAATCCCACCATTGGATGAATGTCCTCCTAGGTCTCTCCCTCTCTCTTGTATTTCTCTTTTTCAGTTGTTTTGAAAGACTTAAACATACTGAAACATGCAGAAGATAGTATATGTAACTTACCTGTGTATTTTCCACCTTCACATCATTTTATAGCAATGAAAACATCCTAGGTAGAGTGGAAGTTTGCGCTTCACTTCCTCACTCCCCAGAGACAACCTCCGTCCTGATTTTGTTCTACAGCCAGACCATATTTTGACCTTTTGTATTTTTCCTAGGTATATATTTAAGGTGTACACAGTGCAGAAAGCAGTACATAACATTGTTCTGCGATACGTTCATGACAGAAAAAAAAACTTAATGTGAAAAAAGAAACTTGCTTTTTTCCAATCAACATTATATTTTCAGTTACTATTCAAGTGGATGACTATCAGTTGATTTAGTTCATTCATCCTAGTACATGGTTAATAATTACATCTTATCAATTTGCCACACTGTTATTGTATTTCGGTTGAGACAGCCAGACCTGGAAGCGTGGAACATTATGTATCTTTTGGTGAGATGCAATAGAAAGTATAAGCACTACCTACAAAAGCTTTTTTCTCCTAAAACAGTTGATCCTCAATCTAATCAAGCATCTAGATTTTAGCTATAAAGTTAAAGGAAATTCAGAGCATAGAGAAGTTGCACCTTGAAGATGCACTCAGTCAAATGCAGAACGTAGGAAACTGTGTAAGAAAAGTTACCGAGTTCCTTCAACAAAGAAATGGCATGAATAGAGAGGGAGAGGGAACTAACAACCGTTATCAATTTAAAGAGTCTTAAGGGACCTATCAGCTTGAAAAAGAAGAACAAAATTGCAGGACTCACATGCCCAATTTCAGAACTTATAACCAAGCAACAATAATCGAAACAGTTTGATACTGGCATAAGCACTGGCATATACACCAATGGAGTAGAATTGAAAATCCAGAAATAAACCCCTACGTCTACGGTCAAGTGATTTTCAGCAATGTCAAGAATTGGGGAAAGAATAGTCTCTTCAACAAATGTTGCTGGGAACTGGATAGCAACATTCAAAAGAATGAAGTTGGACCCCTCCCTTATACCATATACAAAAATTAACTAAAAAGCAGATCAAAGGCCTAAATGTAAGGGTTAAAACTATAAAATTTTTAAAAGAAAACAGGTGTAAATCTTCATGACCTTGGATTAGGCAGTGGATTATTAGGTATAACACCAAAAACCAAGCAGCAAAAGAACAAAGAGCTAAGCCGGACTTCATCAGATTTAAAATTTGTGCATCAAAGGACGTTACCAAGAAAGTGAAAAGACAACCTACAGAATGCGAGGAAATTTTTGTCAGTCATATATTTGATAAGGATCTAATATCAAATAGTAAAGAACCTTTACAACTCACCCACAAAAGGACGAATAAGCCAACTTTAAAATGGACGGTTTGAATAGACATTTCCCGAAGAATTTATACAAATGGCCAACACGCACATGAAAGGCTGATTATCGTCATTGGTCCTTAAAGAAATGCAAATCAAAACCACAACGAAGTCCCACTTCACACCCACTAGTTGGCTGTAATCAAAAGTACAGAAAATAACCGGTGTTGACAAGGATGTGAAGAATTGGAATGAATGAACATTGCTGGTGAGAATTTAAAATCATGCCGCGCTTTGATTAACAGTCTGCCAGTTTCTCAAAAGGCTAAATATAAAGTTACCATATGACTCCACAGTTCTGCTCCTAGATGCATATCCAAGAGAAATGAAAACTTATGTCTATGCAAGAATTCATACACTAATATTCATAGCAGCATTATTCATAATAACCAAAAGGCAGATACAACCCAAATGCCCATCAACTGATGAATGCATTAAAAAAAAAAAATGATATGTTGGTACAACAGAATATTACGTGGTGATAAAAACAAAGTATTGTCATATGCTACAATGTGGATAACCCTTGAAAATATGGAGACAGGCCAGTCACAAAGAACAAACAAGTGTTCTAAAATTGATTGGTGATTCCTGCACAGCTCTGTAGGTACACTAGAAGCTGTTGAATTGTACACCTTAAATGGGCAAATTTTATGGTATATGGATTGTATCTCAATAAAGCTGTTATCAAAAAAAGAGAAAGACATAGCAACCAAATGCAGCGTATGGAGCTTGTTTGGATCCTGATTCAGACTACCTACAGAAAGACAGTTGGGGAAAGGCGCACAGGCTGACGGTATTGAGGTATTGCTAATTTGTGTGTGCGTGGGTGCTATTGTGGTTATGGGTATTTTTGTATGTAACAAAGATGTGTGGGTAAAATGAGAAGATAGGAGGGATTTGCTTTAAAATACTCCATGAGTTAGGTGGGGAAGGGGATAAAACAAGATTGACAATGGGTGAACAAGCATATGTTTAAAATATCATAATAAAACACTAAAAAAAAAAAAAATTTGGTGAAACAAAACTGTAAGCATGAAGAGACCCATTACCATCCATCCACCTTCTGTTCCGATTCATCAGTTCTTGCCAATTCCACCTCCTGGGCATCTCATAACTGCATATTTTACTTTATTTATGCTCTTTTAGCCCAGGCCGTCATTGCCTCTTTACCAATCACTGCATAGGGTCCTATTTGATCTGCCTGCCTCCTGCCATCCCGCCAAATCATTCTTTCTATTGCCGCCAAAGTCATCTTCCTGAATACAAATCTGATAGAGTCACTCCCTGCTTAAAGCCCTCTAGGGATTTTTGTGGACAAAACAAGTCCAAGTGTCTGGCGGCAGTTTACCCAGCTGGACCCTGGCTGCCTTTCCCTCCTGCAGCATGTGCTCCCACTGTAATGAATTTATTTCATTCATAGAAAGCACGAGGCTCTCTCTTAGTTTGGGGCCACTGCATACGTACTTCTGTCTGGTTCGTTTATCCATGCCCCCCACCCTTTCTCTTACTTTGTTAGTGTCATCTTTCAGGTCTCAGTTTAAACAACCCTTTCTCAGCCAAGTATTTTCTGACAACCACTTTGTTATCCCGCTCCCTCCCTGCCCATAGCACCCGTTCCTGCTGTGTGATCCTGTAACTGTCCTGTTGTGAAAGCGCCAAGAAGGAACCTTGTGTGTGTCTTGTGGACACTGAAACATCATTTACCTGGCCCTTTCCTGTCACAGTGGTTGCACTTAAGTATTTGAACCATGAATGTCATGTTCTTTGCAGTGTTCTTTGTAATAGGAGAAGTGCAGGTAGGAGAAGACCTAAACACTTTTTGTTGTTGTTAGTTGCCATGGAGTTGGCTCTGACTCACGGGGACCTCATGTATAACAAGACAAGATGTCGCCAGGCCTGTGCCCTCTTCATGATCGTTGGTGTGTTTGAGTCCATTGTTGCCACAGGTGTTTCAGTCCATCTCATTGACAGTTTCCCTCGTTGCCACTGACCCTCTACTGCACCAGCCATGATTCTTTTTCTAGCAATTGGTCTTTTCTGATGACGTATCCAAAGTAAGTGAGCCGAAGTCTCCCCATCCTTGCTCTTAAGAAGCATTCTGGTTGTATTTCTTCTAAGACTGATTTGTTTGTTCTTCTAGCAGTCCACAGTATATTCAATATTCTTCACCAGCACCACAGTTTGAATGCATCGGTTCTTCTTCTGTCTTCCTTTCTCATTATCCAGCTTCCGTATGTGTCTGAGGTGATTGAAAAGACCATGACTAGAGTTAGGGGCACCTTAGTCATCAAGGTGACATCTTTGCTTTTTAAAACTTTAAAGAGATCTTTTGCAGTGGATTTGCCAAGTACAATACATCATTTGATTTCTTGACCTCTGCTTCCATGAACATTGATTGTTGGTCCAAGTAGAATGAAATCATTGACAACTTCATTTTCTTCTTCCTTTATCATGAGTTATTTATCGGTCCAGTTGTGAGGATTTTCATTTTCGTCACATTCAGGTGTAATCCATAGTGAAGGCTGTAGTCTTTGACCTTCATCAGAAAGTGTTTCAAGTCATCTTCATTATCAACAAGCAGGGTTGTCTCATCTGCATATCACAGATTGTTAGTGAGTCTTCTACTACAATCCTTGTGCTGCATCTTTGTTAATATAGTCTAGCTTCTCAGAATATTTGTTCAGCATACAGACTGAATGAGCAAGATGAAATAATATAACCCAGCTGCACACCTTTTCTAGTTCTGAGCCATGCAGTATCCCCTTTGTCCTGTTTGAACAACTGCCTCATGATCTGTGTGCAGATTCTGCACGAGCACAATTAAGTGTTCTGGAATTCCCATTCTTCATAATGTTACCCATAATTTCTTATGATAGAACCCTAAACCCAACCCATTGCGCTTGAGTTGAATTGCAACTCCTAGCGACCCTATAGGACAGAGTAGAACTGCCCCATAGGGTTTTCCAGGGCTGTAAATCTTTACAGAAGCAGACTGCCACATCTTTCTCCTGTAGAGTGGCTGGTGGGTTCAAACCACCGACCTTTTGGTTAGCAGTCGAGTGCTTAGTCACTGTACCACCAGGGCTCCTTATATAACACTATAT